AAAAACGTGAAAATCTTAGGTTCAAGGCTTCGGCACCACATATGGATTTATGGTGGAACAATTATTTCACTGTCTTTTGTATAAGGTTTAAAGAACCTAAACACACTTTGGAACGTTTTGCTATATTGCCAAAGCCAGAGACTAACCCACAACTTCTTCCAGCTTAGAGCAACGATCTAGCACTATTCACGCCAATTCCACCAACAATGAACCCTGTTAAACTCTGGGGCAATGAAAGAAAAGAGGCTGTACGGCTATGCAAGCACTATTAGTTGTGTCGCGTATTTCGCTGAATTCCGTTCCCACAGTCAATCTTTACATTGGGAACATGTCACAAGTCGGAGGCATTTATTAAGTCATGTTAGGTCAAATGTATAAACAGCATGGCCTTCTCCAGGTGTTTACGGAGTTCCCATCCAGATCTTATTCCACGTAGCACATGATTGTCCCATTTCTCTAATGACAGAAACACCAAATGCTGAGCACTGAAGCTGGCGAACAACAGCGCAGGCATAAAAACGAATTCTGATCAAGACGAAATCATATGTTTATACAACGTTTGATAAATGCTGGCTCTTCTTAAACGTTGTTTTATGGATGCGTTGGATTGGTCTCATTCCAACATAAAAACCTCCCTTGCACCGAAGCATTGAACGCTTAACAAAACCCCCATAGCACATGTTCCAAAAAAGACTAATATGGCGGTCAATTGATCATAATTCGAGAGTTCAGCACCAAGATAGGAGAGGAAATCTTGAAAAAATGCTAATGTATCCATTAAAAGCCACTCACGTATTTTTTGGAGTATGCCAGTGCACACAGAAACAGTGCACGAGTAGAGGAAGTATTGCCATAAAAAGTAGGAAAAGCCAGTCATATGGGGATAGCTCCGCTTGACACGGAGAGCAAATGCGGTGGTCTATCGCACCACTGCCCCATTTGCAGGGCTGAAATTACAAAAAGACTATAAATCAAAAAAGGAATAAGAGGAACTAACAATAACAGTCGGCTTGAGCGAGTTTTTTTTTCCACATGGTTGATTAAGCCGGAATAGGTCAACGTCGAAACCGTCACTATTCTGTTATATGAACCAGCATGTTTTCATATCTGTTTTCGCTTTTTCGTTTTCCTACTCAGCAAAATGTCACGAAAGCGCGTGAGAAAGTGAGGAGGGCGAAATGAAAATCCAATGCTAAAAGGCCTAGAAGTTTTATGATTGACACTGTGGTTTCAATTAATATCAAATGGGACTGGCAAGTTTTGAGACAGTGAGAATAGACACCATATCTATTGAGATCAGAAACATGAAATAGATAAAAGTCTGTGTTTTGCTTCTCCAATGTCATCCACTTTCACTGAATCGCTCGAAAGTAAAGATTTGCTGCGTGTAACGTCTGCGATTACGGTGATACCAACCCTACCCTTCCTAAAAACGTATTCTAACCTCACAGCGAACTCGTTGATATCCATCAAACAGAAGCTGAAAGGTTATCTACGATAGATGCTGACAGAGCGTGCAGAGAAGAGTGGTCGCCATCTGTTTTCACCCCATTTTATGCTGAGCTGTTACAATTTTCCTTCAGGTAACGCACGACACATCAATTAGTTTTTCATAATTTTGAGCATCATCAAGAAGCCATAACCGAAAAACTACGAAACTCACGCCACATTCCGACCACTGAGTTTCCGTTCCACTGCTATTTCCAATAGGTAGCTTATAGCGACCACAGAATCCATGACACAAGGATGGAAGCGAGGCAGCGTCTCCGAGCAACGGACCTGGGGACACCATTGACACCTTGTGAGCTCCGAGGCGCACATTACAGCATCTGAATACTGTTTTACTATATTTGAACGATATATAGGAAGGCGACTTTGTGCGCTCATTCCAAGAACAAGGGATATTACATCAAATCATGTATATAAGCAATTAAAAAGCATCCTGAGGAAAAATCTGCCCACCCTACCACACATTTATTTTGAACCGTTCTTGTCTTTTTAGCTGCGTTTCACAAAGCTAGAACGATGCCATGCACTTTGTGGATTTACACAGAATTTGTAGGAAAGAGAAATCCTAATTTAATCATGTTGTTCAGCAACATGAGCAAAAAAACAGTAGTGGAAGTAACTTCGCAAAGAGGATGAATGTAAGCAGGGTCGTCAATATTACTGACCCTTTTCCAGAAACTGATACAGAACTTTTCGCATAAACAATGAAGTAAGAAAAAATACACTTTACGAGACGTAGCACATACTCTCCCCGTTTGCTAGAAAGAAGGGCGCTGAGCAAATATCCAGTTGCGTATACTCTGCCCTCAGGTAAAGAATGAACCCAACAAAAAAGTTTTGCCACCTTAACAACTGAGTAAATGTCAAAAGGAAATTGGAAAAATGAAACGCCAATCCCCATCCAAGCTTAGCTTTTCCACTGTTGGAGCATATAGCTTGGACTACGCTGGGAAAGCAGAAAGTGCTAGAATCAAAATGAACCTACGATTACACAAAAACCCATGCTAATACGAACACTTTCTGAAGAATTTGAGAGAAATGGAGACCCATAATACGTATCAGACTGGCAAAAGACTGGACAAAGAAAAAAAAAAGCAAACAAACATTATAAATTATTTGAGCGAAGCAATATAGAATGAACATAGATAATTATCGTATAGAAACGATTTCAAAGCACAAGTCAAATGAAATCTAAATCTTTATACAGACAGGTATTCAGAATATACAAATATAGTACATCGTTGGAGTTTGAGATAAAACTCTCGCAATCAGCTCCAAGACGTATGAGGTTAAAGAAAAACTATAAATCTTTTCACAGGATATTAACTGCTAGAACGGAAACTTGTAACGAAAAAACAACCGGTACTCTAATAGACACGACTAGGATGATTAAGCTCTGCAAACAGCTCATTTTCTTCTTCTTGCAACACCCGAAGTAGAAAACGTATTCATCTGTGACATGTGTTCCAATGGTGATTGTATATTCCAACCAGGAATCTCCGTAAAACCAGAAGAGGTGGGCACCTCATCCACATTATCCGGAATGTATTCGTCTTCACACACCTAAATCGTTTATGAATTTAATAAAATGGTGAAACGAAACGTCAGGAACCGAACACACCAACACTGACAAACGTGACTAACTGGGGGAAAAAATAGTATTTTTCCGCATAACACCTTTCCGGAAATTATATATTTGCTGCTCAAGGCCGTTTTCTGCACATATACAATGATAGAAAGATATCTGCCTGATAGGGCTAGTAGCAGCGGCAGCAAAAACCCATCTGTTCGGGAAATTCAATTAAGGACAGAAATTAGCAACAAACGCTCCTTTTAACTCCGCTAATCATTATCATTTCTAATATTAGGATTTAGATTACGTATGCTTTAATTGATAATCTGAGACTAACATAGGAAGACTATGAAGAAACAGAAGAAAAAACCGACCGTTCATCAACAAATACGCTCTAACTCACAGTTTTAGAATTCAGAGCGAGACTGCTTGAAGGCATTTCACGTGCAACTGATGAAACTGCGTGGGGCTCACGCTTTTCGTCGGAGACTTTTGACAGCACAACCAAACTTCTCGTTCCCCAGTACACGATTATCATCAGACAACACCCTGCATACAAAAAAAAAATAAATAGATAAGCTAAAGCTAAAAAAATGAGAATTGAAATCATTGAAAACAAAGCACAACAGCGGGTAAAGCATTTCTAAACCTGCTAATAACCAACAATGTAACGCGACTGACTACTACAGTTATCAAACACGGAAAAGATGTATTTGGTTATTTACCCAGAAGTGAAGACACAAAAATAATAAAGGAAGTAGTCAAAGGCCAGTTGTATAATAAGTGTCGTATGATTCCAAAACGAGCATCGATTACGAGAACAGCGCTGTCAATCTAAACACGTGCAATGTTTAATGTTTATGCTGTAGCTTGAGAAAAATGTCAAAATGACTCCGAACCGGAGCACTCGTCCGAAGAAGCAAACAACATCAAATCGCACTGACAATTTTCATAATAGAAAGTAATGTGTTCGAGTAAATCATTGCGGATCACCCGCCGTGGCAGTTGACACCACGGATTCTATGCCGATTATCAATGATTCACAACTGAAAGATCAGAAACTGCTTATCCCCAAAAGCGGAAGGTAGAAGCACTCTTTTCCGTATTAGCTAAAAATTTCTGGCAGCCATGATCACACGATTAAGCGAGAAAAATTGAAGGACCTGATGCAACCTTACTCGATTCAAGGCCCTTTTACAGAAAAAACGTGACTATTTCTCCGAGCCATAGCAACGTCAAGCTAGAGAACATGAAGCATAAAATATGCGCGTTTATCGATCTATTTAGCTTCTTTGAAATCTAATATACTTAACCTTTCGAGAGTTTCTTTTCTCACATATATTATGCCTCCTGTTTCTTATTATCGATCCCTTCATTGTATAGTCATCGATTTTAAAATCGAGCCAATAACTGAACATTACATTAAACAGAATCTTTCGCGACTAGGACACCAATTGAGCTGAAATTAGAAAACAAATTGAGATGAAATTTAAAAGAATTAGATGAGGTACGAATTCCAAGCGACATTGAATTTACAGGTTGCTTTCTGACTGAATGGACCAAATAGTACTCTTCTTAATAGCAGATGCATGAAAACTCACAATGTTCTTTTATTAACTCTAGGCCTATCTATTATACACCTCATAAATTGATTAAACGATGGAACATACACCACAATTTCGTCTCAATTCAACGTTTCATCGTAAAACATCACAGAATACTGGATTGATTCGTCAAACTTTAAAAGAAAAGTCGGGATGATAGAATCATTAATAGTGCCAACACGAGAACATAGAGGGTCAAGTTTTTTTCAACTATCAACATTAAACCTTTACAGGAGAGTCTTTACAATTTACAATTGTTGAATCCCTCATCAGAAAAAGGGGTACAGTGGTGTGTTCTTTCTCTTTACAACTGCAGGCTGTAGTGAGAACTTTGTAAACAAGAAGATAGCCACCGAGACAGCATATGAAACATGGTATGCTGCCACCCCAGGTACACTCTTTCATTCTACCCGCCCATCAGTTTGAAAATGACCCACGGGGTAGTCTTATGTTTCCGCTTGGACTCAGAAGGTATATTTAGCTGTTGTGCAAAGAAGTTAGAAGAACTACAAAACCGCACCTGCGCAAAGCGATTTTGAAGTTGAAATACGAGTTTCGATGATGAACGATCACATGTCTCTATATACTCTGCTGCTAAAGGAACCTCCAGAATGTTATAGTTATGGAAGAAACCAGCCAAATACAGTGGAAAAAACAGAAACCAGGTCATCTGAAAATTTTTATCTGATAAAGTGCTCAAGATATGAGAGAAGAACAAAAAAACACACACACAAAGTACCTTTGTGAGCGAAGAGGGTTCTTTCAAATAAGTCGACTTTGTGTAAGTTTTGATCAAATCTTCTCCGTCATAGAGCGATAAAACATTTTGAAATATGCCTAATTTCTGTCCCTGTTGCATATCCGCGAAATGAAGTCGAACCATCAAAGTGTAATACACAGAGGGTGAAAATAACTCTCCCTGAATGACGAGAAAGAGAATGCAGAATCTTTTCTACGTTCAACAGGAAAACTCAAACGAAAAAGTAACCTAAGGAAAAGGACCGCCCCATGAACCAAACAAGTAACCTCATCGCTTACCATCACCTAGGATCTTTCAGTGAACTTCGCTCTCAAGGGTCCAAGATTGATACGACCGTAACTTGGCAGTTACCAGTCACTTGCCGTGCTCTCCTCCTTTTCGTGTGAATTGGCATTTCGCCCTTACCCATTACAAATTTGGACGCTCCGGTACGAGAGAACAGGAGGTATGTGTTTCCAGATACACGAAAATACAGACTTCTTGAGCCCCGTTATGAGCGGAGTCTAGCGCAAATGTTGAGGTGACTTGCTTCATATCCTGTTTGTAAACTTGGAGGCGCAAATTTACTCAGATTACCTCATTTCACGCACGCTGCACCCCTACATTCCCCTCTCCGTGCCCCTGAGGGCGGGATCCAGTGTGTCCTTTTCTACCACTATCATCAAGGCCATATCCCTGCCGCCTGCACTCCTAGCGTTTGGACAGCTTTGATCAGCAATCACGATCTACATTTTTTTTTTGAAAACGTCTATTTCTTCGAAATGAGTTGGAAATAAAGAATGGACATTTTGGGTGCAATTCCGAACTGAGCCCTTTATACTTCGCGTTGCTCGATGAGAGAAAGGCAAATAGGGTAATGAGTGCCAGTGTCGAAATTGCGAGAGGTGGTCATGGACGAGTCATGTGAAATAGAAATTCAAGGAAGCTTATCCCAAACATGTTTCTTCTGAACACAAACTACGCAGTAATCAAATTTAACCAGTTATCAAAGCAGAGCAGAATGTGCGATCGCATTGGCTGTGAAATCCTAGCACTAATCGCATGGAACGCCAATGGCTTTCGCCCATCGACCAGCGCAAAGTATGGAGGCTCCCAGTGGTCTATTTTGTTGCTAACGCCGTGGGACAATAATCTCAAAATACGGTGAGGGCAGTTCTTGAAAGCAGGAAAGACCGCCTAGTCGGAAAAAGGTAAAAAAGGGCAAAGTCAAACCTTCTCGAATTCCACAGTTGCCGTAGGAAAAGAACAAATACCGTGAAGTTCAGAAAAGCATGTGTTGAAGGATAAATTCAACTCAATCTCGTTGCGGATTGATGAAGGTAGGACTATCCTCCTTGAAAGCAGTAAATTTTCTCGTGCCAAGAATAATTTTCAAACCTGAGAAAGATTTGCGCATGTGAACCACGAACTTGTTGGTTCGCTCGAGCGGTCGCTTTACGTGTTCCTTTGCAGACACTTTGTCATTGGGGCGTACCTAATGCCATCCACACAACGCAATTTTAGCGTCGAGTAACTTGTCCATATCATTTGCCTACTCGATTTACGGTCAGCTATCGGCTTTAATGGATCGGCTTCGAGCCTAGGTGCAAGGCGAACTTGATTGTGAAGAATTAAAGTTCATCAAACTTCCTCCATACTCTTATTAAAGAAGGAAGTAAAGAAACTGAATTTTACATTGATAAAAAAATAATGTTCAAAAACGAGAACTATGAAGGAAAAAAATCATCAAATTATGCATGTGGAGTTACTGCCGCACACAGGTGAGAGCTTTATGATGAATTTAAGGCATATCCTTTCCTTGATAATTAAAAACCCTTTTTATGATCTTTACTATGAGTAGTTACTTAATAAACGGCAACACCGCTGCCGTTCAATCAGCTGCAGCAGTTTCGCTCAATTCTTTTGAAGACGGGAAGGGACTGCTAAGGGTAGAAAACTGTAAGCTTCACCGTGGTTATGTGCGATATGAATGCGCATGGGGTTGAAATGTTATTTGAGTTTTACAAATGTAACCGATATTGCTTGCCTTGGTAAGGATGGTTTGGATCGATAAATCTCTAAGCCCTTTACAATATCGCAACCCCTAATTTATTGACTTGAAACCAATGGAAAGTTTCATGACCTTGATGATTGCACCTAGGTTCAAACAACCATAATCAAGGCGATAGCCGACCGCAAGTCGATAGGCCGTAAGATTTGGACGAGTTGAGTTACTCAGAATTTGCGTTGAATGGGCGGCGAAAGGTTGCTAACGAAACTCATGTGCCACAGCTACAAAACAGTTGCAGAGTTGCGCCATATGAACGCCTTGATTGTTAGCTATGTGCGAAACGTGCCGTGGGCATTAACTCTCGTCCAACTGCGAGCGCTTTCAGCGTAGAGCGTCGAGCACTCAACGTTCCTAGGCCGCGTAAGCTTCAACGCTGTAATTCTTTGCGTTGGAGTATATTATTTTCCAAGCAGAGCTAGAGCTCGTTCATAATGATATACTTCCGTCACACTATACCACAGTAAAAAAAAATAAAACACATAAAAACAAAAAACTGGAAAAAAGAATTGCATGGCTGATAAATACTCGAACAAAGATTTTCACCGCCGACCATACGGTATCAGTATTAACGACAGACACTGCCATAGAGCGCCTACGCTCAAAGCTTAATACTCTACACTGAAAGATATCTGCCGCTGCCGCGCCGCGTGATAGGCCACTTTCGCGATGGTTGATACTACTGCGTGCGCTTCATTGCTTGATAGACCCTTATAGCATTGAATCCATCATCTGGTAGACCTCAAATGATGGATTCGCTAAGTAGTACAACACAATACACCTGAGCACTAGATGAAAGGGTTTGGTGGATTGAGGGGCCAAAAAGGAGTCAAAGGGAAACTAGTAAGGCATAATGTGCACTTGTGCGTACTCGTAAAAGCAACCTCAAAACTTCATCAAACACTAACCTCACTCAATAATAATAGTAATAATAATAATAGTAATAATAATAATATATGTAAAACTTCAAAAAAAAANAAAAAAAAAGCTGACGGAATTTCTAGCTCTACCTACCTATGTTCCGGTATTCAAGAATGCTAGAGGCTAGTTTTGCTTTACGAAATATTTATTTAATGCCTACCTTGAAAACACACAGGATTCATGTGAGGAGTGGGGCAAATATCTGGTTGATCAAATATTTTCAACTGAGAAGTAGTCCTGTCACCCGTAGCTTTGAGTCACATTCACCTTGGCAAAATGCGCTCAGACTATGTGCCTTGCAGATGACAGGAGTTTCAGAAAAACGCTGTACAAGAGCGATTCGTAGTTCGATTCAGGTGGTCAGTCTGAATCTGCTGACCATAATCTGTCAAGGATGAATAAAGCTTCATGCCATGTAACATACAGAAAGTCGCGGGCTAAGGACCGAGCAATAGCACTCCTTGCGAACGGCACTTGCAAGCCTAGTATAAACCATAGGTCCTGTCGAGGAACTGGAATGCAAAAGACAATATGGCAGGCCCAGTAATGACCGTAATTCAAAGTATGGAATGGTCTGTGCGGCTGCAGCCGTCTCCCATGCTTTTACTAGAGGACAGAAAAGGCTTCTCTCAACACCACTGCTTCAAATTACTTTTGATTTCACAAGAAGTTAATAACACAGATTGCATAAATGAATTGATCCTCTGTTGGTCTATTCAATCCTTCTTTGCATTAACCTCACGGAGTTTTGCCTTCACGAACGGTTCATTTCGAAAACCCATGCGAGCCTTAACTTTACTTACAGGAGTTTAAATCATACTGTTTACCAAGTACAGCAATCAAGGGGAAGTCAACTACTTGTGCAAATATTGACCTGAGCCAACCTTCTCTACAGAAGAAGTTAAACTTGAGATAAACAACGACAACCGCACTCCTGCTCCTGTCAATTACCCATTGAAAACGAGTACAAGAAGTAACGGCCGAATGTTTCCGGGAGTTGTAGGTGGATTAATCAATTTGAAGTTTTGTTTTTCGTGAAATATGAAGAGTACTCACCTCACCATAAGGGGTGTAAGGGCAGCCACAAAAAAGGCTAATGAGCAATGAAATAACAGCAGACAAAAGTTGTAAACAGTGCTCGCATCTGCCGTCAAACGTAAGGCACGTTGCAGTTGAGATCGAGCATTTTCGAATAGCCGAAACTGCATTCTACATCTGGAAAGAAGAAAGTAACTGCACTTCTCAACAACAATAACCACGAGTGACAAAATAAAGCGATTGGGCCTTGCCAAAATAATCAATATTCTGATCACGTATTTGACACTTATTAGCAGCATCTACCATCGGTTTTTGGTGCCGACCATGCAACCTTTCTTAGCCTTATTCATTATGGAATTATGAGTAAGGGATACTCAGTGTGGAGGCCAGGAATGAAAAGGAGCCAACTTTTTAAGATTTATTCTTATCAACTCTGAGAGTAAGGGTTATCAAATGTCGGTCACAAATGTAACGAACACTTTTGGAACCAACGTTGATTTGAAATTCTGTTTGAACAACTCCAACTATAATAATGAGGTCCCTTGTCAGGATTTCTAACGTGAATGTAACTGCCGCAGAGGGCGAACGTGATTTTTGTTATTTTCTCGTTAGAGCAATTAAAAGGATATTCAAGAAGTTCTTCATCAAAGTGATGAAGGACTTCTCGTCCCAACATGAATTCAAATGATTACCGAAAGCAACGACAATAGAATTGAATGTGATATCAATGAAACACTGGACATCTCCTTCAATATCCCCTGAAGGTTGTTTCAGAAAGTTCTTCGTGACTTTCTGACGTCGTATTAGCAGAGCACCATCAAAAACCTTCTTAGTCTCAAAAGCGAAAAGGAGTAAAAGAAGGAAATAGAAATGCTTCACCTGAAGTATTCGACGACTAGGGAAGTTCGATTTCATCCCTTACCGTAAGCACATAGGTGTCCGCCCCGTCCTTTACTGCACATTGGAGCACGGAATCGTTTCAGTGCCCGAGACTCAATAATTCTATGAATTCAGAAAATAATATGTATTTGATACCAGACCCGGAAGCCTATCTGCTTTGCTTTCAGTTTCCGCGTGATTCCATCCAGTATAGGTTTTTGAAATAGGAAAAAAAAACTAGTTTTGATGGATGTGACAAGTGTGTCGTTCGACTGTATTCTCCTATAGCATATCTGATTCTACTTCCGCCTTACTCCTGTTTGTTGCATTTCCTGCTTTTTCTTTTGTATGGGCCTGTCATTTTCACTTCTGCAAATGGTGGGAAAATTTATCTTCAGTGATTCTCCTATTCGGGCTTTTGTGATTTTTTCAGCCTTTAACTTTTCTCGCCCCTTTTTTTATTGCATCATTGAATTCATTTGAGGAAAACCATATCCCCAGCAATTAGCTTGTAGAAGTACGAAGGCAAATTCCGAAACTGGTTTGTGGATATGTTCTATTGGTGGTGGCTCACTTAAATGAGCTTAACAATGGGCTTCGTACATCTGTAACTTGTTTCGTTCATCTACGACAATGTCCTCATTTGGGGAATCGAGCCTCCTCGCACTCAATTGTCAAACTCCCATATATTAATCACCAAGATCTGAAAGGCTGGTGCTGAAAGCATGTCCATCGTGCTTTCCTACAGTCCAAAACTCGGAGGTGTACGTCAAAGCAGGAAAGACAGCAGCGTCGAAAACGTGAGCGCGGAGCCGGATGTTCTTTGTCTTCTTCATTACTCCTTCGATTTAAGGGGTTCCAACGCAGCCCCTTCCTTCTGCACAGCTCTGGAGCTAGGTCGTTCATCATGTTGACTTCCCGACCTATTACACATAGCTAGAGCATTCGGAGGTATTCGTTCCGTTTAACGTGAAAGGAGCATCAGGTACCAGTCCGTTTTTCATGAACATCGTCTTCGTTAGGTTCAGCCTCAAGCCAATCTTTCCACAAGCACTATCAAATTCGGCCAGCATTCGTTCCGCCTGCTCGATGTTCGGTGTTACAAGCACGATGTCGTCTGCAAAGCGGAGGTGATGTAGGTAGCGGCCGTCGACCCTCACTCCCAAGTCTTCCCATTCCAAATGACGCATGATATTCTCGAAAGCGGCACTGAAAAGTTTGGGCGAAATGTTCTGTTGCTCTTTATCTTAAAAATGACATCTCTCAAGGATTCAGATGTTAAGCAACCAAGGCCTTGAATGGTACTCAAAAATGTTTTCGAGTGATAAAAGCACCATTATCATATGTCGTTATCCGAGATTATTGGCGGTCGAATTAGTTTTGTTGCATTTGATATCGAAACAAAGGGTAACCATGACTCTTCATTGGGTACAAACTTTGCTGAGTAGCGTTCGTAAAGTAATAGCAAATGAGCCAAACTTTCACCTTTCTATAATGTAGTGCCTTTCATTGTTCCCTATCACTGCACTCACCGTTCTTATCGAATGAAACATATCAAAGAGTCAAAGGTACATGCTAAATACCGAAGGCGTAAAGATTCCACTTGGAGGTAGCTATTGTTCACTGAGGCCCTTCATCAGCTCTTACCACTTGTTATCCTGTTATCAATTTCTGTCACCGAGTAGCTTTGATTCCGTCATACCCTATTTAACCTATTAAAATGCCGAGGTTCCGCCGTTACCATGACGGGGTTTACAGACCTAGTGGCTATCGCCTTTTTTTGGCTCGCTATCCGTCAGTATCAGCTGTTATCAGCCCTTGTACCTATCATTTACGATCTCTTCTCATCCCCCCCCCC